AACACTTGTAAAGTTTTTGTAAGGCAGTTATTAAGACAAGAAGAGTCTGGATATTTATACATCAATTGTGGTATTGCTGTGTGCATGAGTGTGTGCGTGTGTATTGCTTTTAAATTAGTGTTAAACTGCAATACTCATACAGTATGAGGCTCAGAGCAAGCTATTCACGAATGAGTGATAACTGCTGTTAATCGCATTGATTACTGCCTCACCAGTCTTCAATGTTTTGGTTAAACTGTGAGTGTCATCTTCAACTTTCTTTAACTGTCCGATCATCCTGATTGAACTTCAGAAGGCACGTGAAGGCATTTAACTGGCTCTTCTTTTTAAGCAAAGTTAATTCTCTGTGCTGAAGTGCTAAGGAATGTGAAGTGTTAACGAAGCAGCTCCTGAGGACAGGTTCTACTGCAGTTACTAGGACAGGCAGTGAGTCTGAGCATTGTCTAACTGGCCCATAAACAGAAGGGAGCATCTACCAGTCTGCGAAGGTGAAAACAAATGACAGCCCAGTGCTCAAGAGAAGCCTGCATTCCTCCATCCTTGGCAGCTTCTTGGTTCTTGGTGACTTTCTGCTACTCACTGACACAGGAGACATTCTGAAGACGTTCCAAATGGCGCCACAAAATTACTCTACAAGTGCCTCATGCTGCCTCATTTCACACTGTTTAAAACTGTGCTTCCAGGGCAGGGTGTGAGAGCCATCAGAGCAGGCTCCATTACACGTTTCAGTAGTTGGCTGTGCATTCTGATGGAGAGTTCTCTGTTCTTTCTGTGGTTGATTAAATGCTAAGAAAAGCCACTTAAATACCGTTTTCATTAGCACTCTGTTATCTTCTGCTTCTGTGGAACAGTTGGTAGCTCTGGGGCCTTCCACAAACACACTTTAGTTGTGATTATACTTGCTTGGTGGGTTTTACCAGCCCAGATTCTTAAGAATTTTGGCCCAGGTCTGTGTCGGTTTACCCCGGAGAAGCTTGGAAGGGTCTTAGTAATGAGGAAAGTGCAGTTCCCATGTCTCACCTGACGTGATCACAAGACAGCTAGCTGATAGGGTCAAGATGGCACCCTCTCCATCAAGCCAGGCTAAACTCACTGTATGCTTCGTGCCTGGATACAGCAGACTGGGCAGAGGCACAGCAGGCTCTTATCTTTTGTCACATTGAGTTCAAGTTTCTTCTCAACTTTCTACAGTGATAGATTTGAAACTATGCACAGTATCTGGGGTTTTTTAGAGGAGCAAACCATTGTTGGTCAGCGCCCCATCGTTTCACACACAACCCCAGTTTAAAAGCTAAATCTGCCTATGTCACTGAATTTCTCCATAAACTGGCGGTTGTGACCTACTCTCTCTGTTCTCCTTTCATTTCCAGAATGGCTGTGCTCTTGGGTTTAATTTTGTACTTGTTGACAAAATTCCTATAAAAGGAATAGATAAAATGGAGCAACTGTGAAAGTGTCTGAGAGCTGTAGACTGTGCTGTGGTAGCATGGCACTCTCCATGGGTTGTAAACCCTGTGTGCGCTTTGTAAAGTAAGGGTGTTGTATCACAGAGGTTCTGAGCTCTGCAGGGGCCATGTTGCTCTCTGTAACAAACCCCTCAGCTCCTAAATCCCTGGGCTGGAAATGATTACGTAAATCTGAATGGCCATTTCCAAAGTCCTACAAATCTGGAGAATTCCTTACTCTTTGGGGGAAAGTTTTGCAAAGACTTTTCTTTTTCTTCGTGGAGAGAGACCCAGCCTTTGTAGCAAGCGTTTCTTGAAAACATGAGCGGTGTTAGCTTGTGTAGCTTTGCATTTGAGCAGTAAGCATGGTCTGTGCTGCAAGCTCTGTTTTAACTCCGTGCAGATGTGTGCTAAAAGAACATGATGTGCTCATTTGTTGCATTTATGCTACTTTCTTACTTTAAGTAAGATGGATGAAATTACATATTAAATAAAAACAGCAGCTCCAACAGCAGTCCTTAGCAAACGGAAAAAGCCTTCCAGAGACAGTAGAGAAAACGAGACTATGGTTTAATAATGCATTGACTCTGAGAACTGTCCACCTAAAAGCTTATGCATAGTAAGTTCTTCGTGGAATGTACTTGGTGTGAACTGCCTGATGTTGGGAAGTGGTCTGCCATTAAATTGTGTTAGCGCAGTACTACCCACCACATTGTGTTTTCTGTCTCTGCAAATACAACAGTAATTTTACATGTGTCAGTGGCATGGACACCTGTGTGGTTGATGTAAAATGCCAGTGAATGGGAATAGTTCTGTGGCCTTGGACAGGCTACTAAACCTCCCTCAATTTTTGTTTTCTCCTTCTTAAGGCTGTTGTGATTAAATGAGAATATGCAGCTAGCACAGTGCATGGTATATAGTTATCATTATGGGCCCCAAGCTTCTTAAAATGTGTGCTTTCTTTTTGTGCTTTGGAGCTAGGAAGTTCTTTATGTTGGGAAGTTTAGAATCTGGGGACTACTTTTCCTGTGCTATTTAAGAAGCCAGGTCTATGGAGCGGCTTGAGCAGGAAGCATCTCCTATCAGGACTGCCAAATGTCTCTGGGACCCAGTCAGGGGCAGAGCCTCCTAGTGCTGGCTCCACTTCTCTTCCCAGTTGCTCTGTCTTCTGTTGGCTTTTTCTGTGACCTGGTTAGCTTTAAGAAAGTTTTCAAAATCAAAAAACTATTTAACTTTGTTCCTTCATTATTTAAAAATAGGGTTGATCAATACAGAGCATTAGCTGGAAGCAGACGTGGTGCTTTCTTATTGATTTCAGTGGCTACTGCCCCTTAGGCTTCTGAGAGGATGAAAATAATATATGAAATACACTCCCAGGTTAAACAGACCGACTTTCTTCTGAGATCTGCAGTCACTATAAGCAGATACTTATAATAAGGAAATGCTTGTGTGGCAGCTAACACCTCAAGTGAGTATGTGTGTGTGCATACGTATGTACAGTACAATCTTAAGACCCCAAGGGACCTGCTGACTAGGTGCTTTGGGAAGTTTCTTGCCATAGCTTTACTAATTGCTAGATGCTATTCAAGGTTATAGTTTTATAACCTTGAATATACATATATATATATGTATATATATATATATATATATACATATATATATATATACATATATATATATGTATATTCAAGGTTACAAATTTTAAAATATATGTGTATTCCAAAAGACCACTAATTTTAGGCTAATTAACACATCGCCAGCTAATAAACAAATCAACTAATTGACAAATGGATGTGAGCCAGAGTATGGAGGATATGGAAGGTGTTTTTCATAGTAATCAGTTGCACACAAGTAAAGCCAAGTCAGTGAGTACCAGAAAAAGCTGTCAAAGGAGCAGGGTTCATTGATAAAGTTGTGTAAGGAAGTGAGTTGTGAGCAGACACTGCCTTGTGTCATCTGCTCTTGTCAGTCAGAGCTTCAGCAGCTGGGCCCTGTCACTAGCCCACTGTGCTGCGGTCCACCAGTCAGCACAGACACATGCTTGCTGCCTCTCCCCTTCTAGGGAAGCCGTAGCCACAGACTGAGGAGTCAGTTCTCCCTGGCCTCCCATTTGGATGATGCATATTTCCAAAGAAGGACGTAAGCATCACTCTTGTCTTCTTAGACTGCTGGCTAAAACGTATCCTCAGAAGAATTTGTCGGATGCTAAAAATCAAAACTGTGGCTCTAGAAATGTAGAAGGGTTGCACATTTGAACTCAAGCAATACCCTAGTTAAATGTGAGGGAGAAGCCTTTCCCCACCAGCCATGAGACTGTCAGCCCCCGAGTGTCCCTGAAGATGTCTGCTCTGCTTGAGCACAGTACACACAAAGACTGGGAATGGCCAGCAACCATCCTGCGTGGTGCAGTTGCCTGCCACGTGGGATGGCTGCAGAGACAAACCTCCAGCAGTTTCCTTTTTCCCTTCCTGTATTCAAGAGGCATTCTTAGAGGAAAGAATGTGAGGGCGTTAGTATCACTATCTGTCTGATTACTGTGTTGACATTTTTAAAGTGCTATTAATCATAGGAAATGGAACTTAATGATGTAGAAAAATACCCAGGAAAGGAATGTCAAGAAAGGGAGCCATGGCCCGGAACTCACATGAAATTGGAGCGAACTGCATCTTAACTGTAATTTGTTGTTTTGTGTTGTTATGGATTTACCTCAGCTCAGTAACTGGGCAGCATCTGTGCAAGCAAGTGGGGGAGGGGGAGAGCAAGCATGGCAAAGGTGAAACATCACAGCTATTGTGGTGTATAGAGTATATACGGAGCATCCAACTTTAGATTGTAGCCTTGCGGTTTTACTAATCCTTTTGGAAAAAAAAATAACTATAAAACATACCCTGTTTTACAGTGTTCTGTTGCTATGGGGTGTACCCAGGTTCTTCTATTCATGCTACTACTGACACACCCACCCCTAGCTGCCCTCTGGGATTTACTTTCTTGTTGAATGCTCCGTGCTTTTTATGCAGTTTCCCTTATGTGTAGCTAAGTGGCATTTATGTCATTGGGACTGGCAGTGGCAGGTCACTCTCCCATCACAGGCCACAGGCATATATATACATACAGAAAAGATAGGGATCCCAAGCCAAGTGTCAGAAGCTGGCAGTGCCTGGCACATACCATCAATAAATTGTGTTTGACCATTAAACTAAATTTAAATGTTCTCCTAACTGAAAACTATAGGAAACATGAGATAAATAAAGATAGCCTTACATAGAAAATATGCATTTTACACTAAACTGTCACGAACAGCATAGTGTAAAATGTTCCCAGGCCAACTCTAAGCAGGTGCTGTCCTTGAAAATTAGCACAGAGCTTCAATCCACCTCCTCCCCTTGCCCATGTGCCCCTTAGCTAAACCACTTACTGCAGCATGGAGCTTACAGTGGACTCTCAGTAGAGACTTGTTCGCTCTTACGTGGGGTAAGAGAATTTGAAGATGACCTATGTAAGGAAATGTAAAAAGTAGTATTACTGATAAATGTTGGGCTTTTCTTCCTAATGAAGGTTTTTGTCATTCATTGGAGGGACACTACGTGAGATTGGAAAGCCTGAAATGCAACAAAAAATAAATTTATATCTTGGAAAAGAAGGCATAGAGAAAACTGCAGAAAGGTTGCAGACAACCGCACAAACCTTACAGGTCATCATAGACGGTCTGAGCCAGCCCGAAAGCTTTGACTTCCGAACAGGTAAGTTGAGCTTGAATTGTAGCCCACACCTTCATGGAGCTGCCATCATCGCCTTTGGTCCTCAGAACTGCTAGAGGCCAGGAGCAGAACAGATTCTCTCATACTCTGCATGACAGAGCTGAGGGTCGGCTCATCCTTCACAGTCAATCCAATTTCTATCTAGCATCAGTACTCGAAGCAGGACTTCTGACTCCTTGTCCATGTTTATTTGGCAATACACCAGCAAATATGCTGTGCTGTGCCGTGCCATGCTGTGCCACTGTATGCACAGAGGCCTTGCTCTCCCTGTGTCTCCTGTAAACTGTCTTTATATCTGAAGAGGCAGAAGGTAAAGGTTTCCATTCACACCAAAAAGTGAATCTTCTTCCTAAATTACAGCCTTCCAGATTTCTGGATTCCATGTTGCTGAGCACACTGAGCAAATAAGATAATACCTCTGTGATGATTGTCTTTCTGTGCAGGTAGGGGGAGTAGGAAGTGCAGTAGTCATAGTTGTTGAGAGCAGTGACCTGCTGAGACAGAATTGCAGCTGGAGAAAATAAAATACAGAGTAAGACTGGTGCCAGAAATGTGAGAAGCCGCGAGATGCCATGGCTGTCTCTTGCAGGGACTCTCAGATCAGTGTCTCTTATGCAGGGTGGGTTGGTAATGTGCCTGGGCACTGCACTGGATTGTTGACAAAGCCGCTTTAGCTACAGGTGATCAGAACTGGATTTTCCTGTCCATCTTTATTTTTCTGTCATGCTGTTGATTGCTCCATTAGCTCAGCTACATGCGGAACTCAAACAAAGGCACCTGGGTTAACAGTTAAACCAGCTAAGCAGTGGGCCCTCTTCTATGAGCCTTGTGTTACGCAGGGTGCACAGGGACCTGGGCTTTCCAGGGTGACAGGCACAATGTCAAACAGCTCTCCGTAAGCAGACTCTACAACTAATTTCTGCCATAGTTATGTCACAACATACTCCCAAAGGGAGAGGCAGATGAATCATACTTTGGAGGTAAGGTCAGTAGGCAGTACTTTGCTTTGGGCATTTGCATATTAGAGTATTTGTATTGCATCTCTTTTCTCTATTTTCTCCAAAGCATTTCCTGTCTTACGGCCATATTCTTTCCTTATACTCAACATTCTGTTTCTCATAGTCAAGTTCTTTTTATGAAAGCTCTCCTTGCAAGTTAGTTTCCTTAATTAAGAGCAAGCTGATGACAGTGGCCTAATTGTATGTGCTGCCTTGGCTCTTGAAGTGTTAAAATTTTCATACTTTATGGAGGATTTCTGATTTCTCAATGGCCCAGGCTGTCTTGGGGAACATGCTGAGTGGTTCCTGACTCTGGTTTTCATGCAAAGCTAAGCCGAGCAGCTGATTAGAGCTCCTTGGGTATTGGCAGCAGCTGGATTTCTACAAGGAAAGGAGAGGGAGAGATTTCTAAGCATGAAACCACCACATAGGCCTGGAGACCATCCTGCCTCTGCCCTGGGCACCCTAGTTTCACTTCATTTTGACATGGTCTCACCCTGTGTGGCTCTAATTACCGGAGGTTCCTGCCTTGGAATTGAGCATCAGGTGGAATCCCAGTGTCAGTTCCCATGCTGGTGTATTTAATGAGGGCAGTGAGGTTTGGGGTTTATGGAGCTTGGTCTTGTTTTGTAGGAGTGGGGGAGCTTGGTTTCTCAAAGATCCTGGTCTTAAGGTGGTTGCACTGGGGAGGGAAAGAAAAGTGACCGGTTGTTAGTACAAATGTAAAGGATAGCTTCAACAAGTCGTCAGGGTGAAGCCAACAGCTGTGGAGGAAAAGGAACTGGATTGGATGGGGGAGAATGAGGTCTAAGGAAAAGAGATCCAAGCTAGAATGTGTTCTTTGTTATTAGAGTCAACAGTCAGTGATCCCAGAGCGGGGAGCTGAGCCCTAGGGGTGAATGCAGGCCACGGATAACTTACAGCCCCGTGTAAACTCCTCATCTCACTCTCACATAGAACCTTTGTTGTTTTATTTTATCTAAAGCCATAGTGACCCTTGGCCTGCTTTGTGCTCAGTTTTTAGCCTCAGTGATCAGAAATACGTATACTGGGATGGGCCAGGAAAGGGCTGTAAAGATCCTGAGATGGCGAGCCCAGCAGAGCAGCTGGCCATGAGTTAACGACAGGAGTCAGTAAACAGACAGCTTAAGCAGAGGAAGAGAGGGAAGACCAGCTCTGGCTGTATGTGTTTCTGAGCCATATTTAATGGGGAATCTATACATTCTGACTAAATGAGTTTGAAGCAGAAAGAATTGATTCCTGACTTCCCAGTTTGTGGGAAGAAGTAGAGAGAAGGCATTTGACTTCACCCGCATTTGTCCAAAAGCTAGTGGAACTTTACCACCTTGAAACAATTTAAGAATCCAGACACTGGAAGCCAGCTCCCCTCTCTCTGCAGAGGGTTCTTACTTTCTGAGCTTTTGTGATTTAGTCTAGTGTAGTCCCTGAGCAAAGATAGACTCTGCTCTTTACAGGGCAGAAAGTGAGACCGCTAGACCAAATCCTCCCAGGCAGAGCTCATCTTCGCCTTAGTGAGGCTGAATTCAGAGAAAAGAAAATGTTTGAGAGGTTTGTCTTGAATCATCTGAGAGAACTGTTTGTCCCAGGATGTATTTTTTCTCAAGACAGGCTTCTGTCCTTAGCTTCTTTATCTCTTCACTCAAAGAGCAATATTGATCTGGGCTTCCATATCAATCAATGCACAGTGAACATCAGCCCTCTAAGTATAGTGCCTTCTTGGTTACACTAAAGTTTCTACTCTTCCCTCATAGATTTTGATAAACCTGACTTCAAGAGAAGCATAGTGTGTCTGGAAGATCTGCAGGTTGGGACAGTTCTTACAGGTAAAGTGGAGAATGCCACTCTGTTTGGAGTTTTTGTGAATATTGGAGTGGGAAAGTCGGGGCTGATTCCCATCCGAAACATAACAGAAGCAAAGCTATCCAAAACAAAGAAGAGGAGGAGCCTGGGCCTAGGCCCTGGGGAAAGAGTGGAAGTGAAGGTCCTCAACATTGACATCCCCCGGTCCAGGATTTCGCTGGACCTCCTCCGGGTGCTGTGAGTGCCCCACTGAAGGCCAAGCACCAGTGTGCCCCTCAGTTCTACAGCCTGACCGTGACAAGCCAGAAGCTTAGGGAACCTGACACTGGCTGAGAGGGAAGCCTAGGCAGAAGTGCTTGTCACACTATCCTGACTTCCCCTGCAGAAAAAAACTAATGGGCGTGCTCATGTGCTGTGAGAGCAGCACTTTTATCTTCCTCATTGACTGCCCTCTTCATAGCAGGTGCTTCACTCCTGCCTGCCATCTTCTTCTGCCTTGGACCCAGGTCGTGTGTCTTCTTTATTTGAAGTGCGCGGTGTTGGTTGACACATTGACACTGGCAGACTTTAATCCTGCCATTTTTGTTGAGTTGTTATTAGGACTTTTGTTCATAATTCATAATTTTTGTAATAATCATTGTTTTCCCTTACCAAACCAAGTAAAAATATACCAGTGAAAGAGATTATCATGTATCTATGACTCTCAAGTGAATGATTTCATGTGTTCCCTAGAACATATGTATTGACCCCTACAATAAAGGACTGGCTAGTGACTTTGGTTTGCTGTGTTTATTGAGTGAATGCTAGAATCCACACTGAATTGAAGATGGCTTGGAGAAAAGGGGAGATTCTAGACATTTCAAGAAATGACTTTCTTGACACAGTAGCTCATAGAGAGCATGCTTTCTCAGGTAAGAGGGGCCAGGGACAGTGGAGGAAGTAACCCTGACTCTCTGTTCTTGTTCAGGGAGAAATAAGTGTTACATGACAATTCAGGGTCAAATCAGGTAAGTAGAGCCCACACTGACCACTGCCACTCTGATGTTGACCCAGTAAAGCCTATGTGGCTAAGGGCCTGACAGTCCATGGGTAATGTGTGGAGGGGGGACACTAAAGTGTGGCTAGCCCAGTCTGTTTGTCTTGGGAAAAATCCCTAATTTGTAAGTAAGCACCCATGAACTTTGCAGATATCTCAGTGCAGCTGCTTTTTGTCCTCAGGATGCTGTTTGGAACATGTGATCACCCAATGGTAATAGTCAGGAAGTAGTGTATCTCATGACAGTTCTGCCTGCTGACTTTCTATTCTCTAACTTCTAACCAGCATACACAGGTGTCTTTGAAGTCCTGTTTGCCTGGCAGTTTCATTCCCCGTGTGCTCTTTCTGCTTCTTACTGGTCTTCACCTGACAGTGAATGTTAATGTTATTTTGAGTTGGTCTTCCTACTCATTCTTCCCAAGGTTCTCTGGTTCATGGTGTGTAGATAGGTGCCTGGTGACATCCCAGGGTGCTCTCAGGAAGGAGCGCCTCCTCCTGGGTGCTTTGGATGGAGGAGCCTGAGCAGCTGTGTGCTATGAGCGTGAGGAGGGCTAGGGCAGTGTGTGTGTGAAGCCCAACTTGGGAGAATATAGACCATATCTCATTCATCCTTGCAATTCTTATTGATGTGGGTTTAAGAGGTGGAGTTAGGTTGGAGACAGTGACTATAAACAATTTTGTAGAGTTTGCCTATAGAGGAGGGAGAAATAGCATAATGGCTAGAAGGTGAAATGGAGCCAAGAGAGTTTCTATATGTATTTCTCGAGAAAATAAGTACTGTGTAAAAATGAAAACAGACATTTGATACAGAGGACAAGAAAGTTACTGAATGATGTCCTCAAATGAGTGAGTTCAAATGGAATTCAGTTCACAGCGGGTGGTTTACGAAGAGGGAAAATCAGTTTGCCTCATGTTCAGGAGTAGTTGACTAACAGATAATGAACAATGGACTCCACAGAGGTGTTTTTGTGTGTGTGTGTGTGTGTGTGTGTGTGTGTGAGAGAGAGAGAGAGAGAGAGAGAGAGAGAGAGAGAGAGAGAGAGCTTTTATTTGGTTACAGTTTAATAGTTTTTGGTTTTGAGTTGTTTTTTTGTTTTTTTTTTGGTCATGGTATTGTTTTCTTGGTTTGGGGGAATTTCTGTTGTCTTATTGGTTTTTTGTTTGTTTAGAAAGAACTTAAAGTTGGATAGATGAAGAAGGGAAAAATATGATCGAAATATGTTTAAATTTTAAAAATGTTTTAAACAATAAAAAATAATTTTTTTAAAAACTAGGAATACAGAGTTCATCCATATTGGTAGGAGAGGGGATGAGGTATATGGGCAGAGGTAGGGGTGCATGTGAGAACTAGCAGAAGGTATCTGGATTTCTTCCATTTTTCTTAGTAAAATAAGGAAATAAGGAAATGGCTCAATCCTTCTCAATAAGGATTGAGAAGAAAGGGAAAGAAAAGAAAAGGCTGAGGTCTGTACTCACACATGGAGGAAGGGCGGCTGACTTCATGGTCTACTTTTCTCCAGCCACATGAGCTGTGGGGCGCAGAGTCAGGTCAGTTGGAGAGGCTGTCTACTTGGATTTGTAGTAGTGAGTATACAGTAAGTGAGAAGGCAGGAACTTAAGTGCATGTGGATGAAGAAGGAAGTAACTGAAGTTCAGACCTGGTGAAAAGGAAAGCGAGAGGCAGTGAGGAACTGCAGGCTAAAGGGTTGCACAGTGAGCTGAGGAACATTGGGGAAAAAATGAGGGTAGCAGCCTATTGGGATACAGAACCTTCCAAGTCTGAAGCTCGTCAGGTTTGGTAGTGACGGTGGAAGAAAGGTGGTAACATGGCAGGTAGAAACAAGATAAGAATGCGATCACTAGACGTCAGGAGCTGAGAATCTGAAAGGGTTCTCTGTGGATAAAGATCTTAGTGGTTGCAAAGGAGTGCAGGTATAAAACATGGCGACTTAGTAATAGAGGCTGGGGAGGTTGCCTAGTGGTTAAGAACTTTCACTGATCCTCCAGAGGACCCAAGTTCATTTTCCAGCACCCCATTAATCCAATGCCAAGGGATCCAGCTCCTTCTTCTGGTCTATGTGGGCCAATGGGGCTTTCACTCACACTGATGATACACATAAATAGTAATTAAAAATCTTAAAACATGGTAAAAATGGCACAAAATCCACAAAATGCTGGCTGTATGTGGAAGTAAGCAAATAGGATTTCCAGATGAAATAGACATAAGTCAAGGTTGGTTCCAAGGCTTCTGTCATTGGTCACCGGGAGCTTAGAGCTGGTATCTGTTGAGCTGGAGAGCTGTGAGAGGAGCTGTTTGAGTGAGGAGCTCATCTGGTACAAGTGGGATCTGAGAGGTTCAGTAGAGCACAGCAAAGTGGGCGTGCAAGGCTAGGTAGTGTCTTAGATTCTCTTCCTGTTGCTGTGATAAAAACACCACAACAAAAGCAACTTAAAGGAGAAAGGTTTTATTTGGCCCACAGTTCCAGATTATAGTCCATCTTGGCATGGCAGAGAAGTCCCAGTGGCGGGAGTTAGAGAGGACCGGTCACATTACCCTTTAGTCAGGAGAGAGTGATAAATGCATGCATGCTAGCTCAGCTCAGCTTCACTCATCTTGTCCAGGACTCAGAGCCCAGGGAGGGTGTTGCCCACAGTGGGCAGCTAAAAACGTTCCTTATAGACACGAGTACAGGCCAACGTAATCTAGACAGTCTCACAGAGACTCTCTTCCCAGGTGACTGTGGACTGGTTCAAGTGGGCAGTTAAAACTGAATGTCCTGCTTTAGGACTATAGATTTTATAGTCTATAGATTTTATAGTCCTAGAGAAGCTAAACAACAAGGAGGCCCCTAGGAAAGAGGCTGAAACCTCACTCAGAAGACCAAACAGGATAGACATCAGAAGTAGGAGAAGGCAAGGAACAGAACAGGAGCCTTCCACAGAGGGCCTCTGAAACACTCTATCAACCATGCTTTCGAAGGAGATACTGAGACTCATAGCCAAATTTTGGGCAGAGTGCAAGAAACCTTATAGAAGAAGAGGGAACAGGAACTCCACAAGGAGACCATCAGAGCCAAAAAAAAAAAAAAAAAAAAAAAAAAAAAAAAAAAAAGGACTTGGGCCCAGGGGGTCTTGCAGAGATGGATACTCCAACCAAGGATCATGCATGGAGAGGACCTAGAACCCCTGCTCAGAGGAAACCCATAGACTGCTCAGTTTTCAAGTGGGTTCCCTAGTAAGGGAAGCAGTGGCTGTCTCTGACATGAACTCAGGGGCCGGCTTTTTGGTAAACCTTTCCCTGGAGGGTGTAGCCTTGACAGGCCTGATGAGACCTGAAAGGCTAAGGTCACATTGAAGGGGAGGAGGTCCTCTTATCAGTAGGCTAGGGAAGGGGCATAGAGGGAGGGGGGGTGGCACTGGGAGGAGACAAGGGATGGAGCTACAGCTGGGATAGATACAAAGTGAATAAATTGTAATTAATTAATTTTAAAAAGCTGGCCATCACAGGGAGTTAACTATTTTAGACTAAAGTTCAGGGGAAAACTCTGGAAAAGCCTATAACTAATTACAGGAATGAGACTGGATGAGACCACTAGCGAAATAGGTGAACATGAAGAAGGGAAGAAAAAAAAAAGAGCTCCAAGAATCCATGGCTTTCAGTCATAAACTCTCAAATCTTTCCATAATACTAGAATTTATTTCTTGCTGAGAGAATGCTGATCGAAGGAAACAAAACAGCAGCTATTGAAGGTGGTCTGGTATAGACAGAATCCACCTTTTGAGCAGCTTCTAGGAATGGTAGAGCGGGTGAATAGGTGAAGCGCTTGCCTTGTCCTTGCTCTCTCCTGCTTGGAGCATTGGCTGTGCTGGCTGCGGGGCAATGGCGAGAGCTCAGCAAGAATTGCTGAGTTCATCCTGGCATTGTGGAAGATCAAAGTAGCTCCGGACTGCCTCATTTGATACACACCACTGGTCCCAGCTGTATCCTTTTCATGAAGGATATAATAGTTGTTCAATAAAAGTCAATGAGTGACCCTAGCCTATCTGGTCTCATCAGGACTGGTTGCATTGTCTTCCTCTGTGGACTGGCAAGGCTGCCCCCATTCAGGGGGAGGTGATCAGAGAGCCTGCAACTGAGTTCATGCCAGAGACAGCCCCTGCTCCCCATACTAGGGACCCCACTTGGAGACTGAGTTTATGGACTACATCTGAGCCAGGGTTTTAGGTCCTTTCCATGCATTGTCCTTGTTTGGGGTATCATTCTCTTCAGGGCCCTGAGGACTCAATTTTTATGGCTCTGTTGGGCTCCTTTTGGAGCTCCTGTCCCCTCCAGGTATTTCTGTCAGGACCTCCCCTATGAGTGGACTAGGGAAGGTACACAGGGGGAGAAGAGGAAGGGAGAATGGGATTGGGAGGAGACAAGGGAGGGGCCACAGCCAGATACAAATTGAATAAATTATAATAAAAATAATAATTTAGAAAGGAAAAATAACTGGAAAAAATCAATGAATGAATGAGCATATAATAAAACTATAAATGAATTAGGCAATACAGGTTCCTGTTTGTAATAATGCACTATAAATTGTCAAATATTCAACAAACAATATAAAAGATGAAAAATCATGAAACTTTACTACTGAATAGTTTAAAAAAAGAGCAGCTACTTTAAGATTTACCATGTTGCTGAGTGGTCAGCACTGCACATAAAAAGGCCTGCTCTGGGCTGAAGAGAGAGCT